AGAGACAGAGAGAGAGAGAGAATCTTTTTTTTTTTTTTTTTTTTTTTGTCGAGACCACCACAACCCCCCCCAAGCCGCTTGTGAGCAGAGCATCATCCTTGCTCGTTGAATTGTGTTGCGTCCTTGGGAGATTAGAGCAAGAAACACTCCTTTTCTTGTTTCGTTATGTTTTTGTCCATCTGTGTGTCCCTTTGACTTCTACTTTCTATTATCCTCAATTTTGGCTTTTCTCAACAATGAGTAGAATTATTTTTCAATCTCTGCCACGTCCCTTGACAGATGCAGCCAATAAAATCATTTGTGGAGAAAACTCACTGGAAAAACAACAGAAATACATGATTTGCCAAGCTCGCCAACCACCGATAATGCTGGATGCGTTCTCCTTCGGCCCACATTCGACATTTTTTTCTGAGATTGCTCCTTAGGCCAATCGACCACTTGTAATTACTATTACCAACTGTGTCACCTGCTAGGCTACCAGACTGGCCCGGGGCAAGTTTGCCCAACGGAGTTAAAAAAAAAAAAAAAATTCTGATTTTTTTTTTTTTTTTGGTAAAGAAAATCGACGTGACCCTGAAGCAAAAGTTGTTCAGTTTTATTGTGTGCATCACAGTTCTTTTAAATCTTTTTCATATTTTTTGGATTCTTTTTTCTTGTTCTGAGCCTTCGCTGGTCATCGGACGGCTGGGCCACCCGGTCGAACAAGGTGACCCAGGTGGCCCGTCTGGCAGCCCAGGTCACCTGTTTACTCCTCACCTCTTTCACAGTTGAGTGGAACCTGCAACAGGCAGCAATCTTGTATTTCTAAGTACCAAGTTCCGCTGTCCAGCCAACAGCGGACTTGATGCATGGATGGCCAAGGCAGACACAGAATGCATACAGCAGGCACAAATGCTTGGCCGCTTCCAAGAAATGCCTACCTTCTTCCCCCGAACACAAGGCACCCTCATTTTGACTGTATCGGGCCGGAAAACATACCTTGTTTACGTTCACTTTCAGGGTGCGTTATGTTCGGGGGAAGATGGTATGGACCCTCGAAAAGGACTTGAATAATGCTCCGAGTGGTTAACATTCACAAAGTAAGTAACCATTCATTACAAACTTCGGATGTCTGAGAAGTCCAGAATTTGGTGTCCAGATGGGTTCAGTATCTGCATCTGGCATGACGATAATTGATTGCCAGTCGGATATTGAATCATATTTCACCGAACTAGATGCTGAATTCTGCCTTCTCTCCTCCCTTCCTTATACCTCGGTGTTCACTGTGTCAACATTAGAGTTTAAAAGGCTGACATTCATTTGCAGCCAGCCCAAAAAAAAAAAAAAAAAGGGAATGGACATGGAACATACTTTGCCCCACCATCACAGAACTTTGCACAGATGCCACATATCCAGTGGGCAGATGTCTTCTTAGCTACATTCGTCAAGACTGCAACGTCTAGTGAGTTGTTTGCTGTTTTATTCCTGTCCCTGCAAGCAAACATCGGGCATCATTTCACAGTGCACACAGAAGGTTGCAGCGAGAGCTAAGTTACGTAACAAAGTGAGTTCCCTTTTTAAGAACGGCAACAAAGTGAGCATTCCTACACAAACAATAAACCCCAGTCACGCAAATACCAAATAGCTCTCACCTATGATAGCCACACAGTGCACACACCCATTGGTGCAACAAATGCAGTACAAGATGGGTATGATGTCTGGGCACTATCGCAAAATCAACGATAGCGAGAGTGACACCCAAACGTACGAGAAGGCACCCTCTAAATAATCTCAAACGCTAAATGCGATAGGTCATTAAGTGAGCAGAGGCGCCATGTTGGATGGCTGAGGCAGAGACGTGCAACGATCCACCATGGACGCAACTCACACAAGCGCATAGATCTTAGCGCCATGCACGGAATCAAGATACACAAACACTTCATTTCACAAAGTTAAGTTCTCATCAAAAGACGAATTACATGACAAGAGTGAGAGGACTTGAGATCCCCTACCTTTCTTCTCCTCTCCTCACCGCCAACTTAATTAATTGTAAAATTATTGGTGTGTAATTGTTGATGAGCACTACTTTGTCAGAATCCACAGAAATACTTTGGTGCATAATTGGCGGGAAGCTCCTTATACAGGCTGTTGGTAGATGAGTCAGGTAGGGAGCAAAAGGGTTTACGCAACTTTACAGTGGTTTGAACACACTTCGGCCTCTGTATTATCCTAACTTCAGAGGCCAGATTCAGCCTGGCATCCCAGTGTTACTGGCCAGCCTTTGGTGCTTGAAAAGGTTGCTGATAAATCCCTACCGTTTCAAACAGTATCAGAATGTATTCATGTGCCATTCCTGCTGCAATTTACCAGTGTGACATCATAACTCAAACATATTCGCAAAATGAATCACATATTTCAACAAAGTCAAACAAACAACAGAAGAAAAAGAAATAATGAAGTATGCATGTCAGTCATACTGACACACACTTGATTATTCATGAAGCTGTCCTGTTGTGGCACAGCCTTACTGTGACAATGGCACTTGAGAAGTCTAGGTTCTTGCAGAACAAGGCCTTCCAACTGTGACCATTGTGGCATAACGACCCTGTGACTTTGCCGCCGAAAAATGAAGAAGACGAAGAAGGAAGGTATTTATTATTTCAAGACGAGTTCACAGAAGAAAGGGTGAAAAAGAGAACAAATCTCTCTCTCTCTCTCTCTCTCTCTCTCTCTCTCTCTCTCTCTCTCTCTCTCTCTCTCTCTCACACACACACACACACACACACACACACACACACACACACACACACACACACACACACACACACTTGTCTTCTCTGCTTTAGTTTTGTTGTGCTGTTCTTTGGTTCAGTTCTTTTTTCTTCAGTGTCTTGTGCTCGTTGTTCGCCCATGCGCCTCCCCCCTATTCTCCTGCAATCAGACTCGCTTTCTTTTCCACTTCACATTCCTGCAAACAGATGACATGTGACACTGGCCCTCAGCGCCCACTCAAAGCTCAGAGATACGGTAACCAAGAACACAGTTCAGATACAAGCTCGCTTCAGATAGCTATGGCGCATCAGTGCCTGTACAACTCTCTGTTCGTCACTGGGCTCAACTATGCTGTTCACACACCCTCAACTAAGGATCACCCTGGATATCCCACACGCGACACACTGTCTCACACACACGCACACACTACACTCGTCTACCACCTACGGCGGCTATGGCCGCTCAACCCTGCTGGCTATGGCTACACCAGCTCTACTCTGCCCACTTCGTCTTCGGGCGCTCTGCAGACCACCTCGCACAAGTCGCTCAAGCAGCGCTTCCGCATGGCTTCCGCAGGAATGAATGAATGGCTGGGCGCTGCCTCTTGATTTATACTTCTGTAGCTCGTTGGTCTGCCCCTTTCCCATGCCCCTGGTGCACACAGTCCCACACGGTACTTGCTTGACTGGACTGTGACTGGCTGGGACCAGTACCGCTGACTGCATGGGTTTGCACTGCCAACTCAATGCAGTCGCACTGCCGACGTACCGCAGTTGGGCCCACCACTTGCCCACTTGCCTCTGTCTAAACGCGAGCAATACTTCGAAAGGCCACCACTAGGACCTTCCGGAAGGCTGCAGACTTGGCCTTTCGAATACTGTAGCAGCTACGACCTTGACCTTTCAGGACTGTAGTAGCTACGACCTTGACCTCTCAGGACACCTACAGCTACGACCTCTAGGCCTCACTAAGACCTCTATCCAACAGGTCTACAGATCGAACCCCTACCACCTACGGACCTACGGCAGCTTACCAACTGTTGTGAATACACAGGTCACGGGTTCAACTCTCGGGGTCGACACAGATACCGTACACAGGCAAGGTAAGAACTAGGGATCGAACCCTGGGATCTGCATTCGCTACTGCTAACAGGTGAATACCGTTTCACTCCAGCTTATGTTCCCTACTGATGCTTGTCGTTCATGCCCCTGTTGCCTTTACCTTCTTGTCTTGTTATGCTTGCTGCCTATACCATCGAGGCTTTATGCCTTGTTGCGTTTGTTCTCCCTGCCTCGTACTGTTCGTCTGTTTTTTTTTTTTTTTTTTTTTTTTTTTTGCTATAACTGGAGGTCTTTGTGAAATCATATGGGAAGTGATTGCTTCTTTCTAGCTCCTTGTATACAGTACTATAAACTCTTCGTTGTGGCTTGTCCCGGGGTGAAGACTTTGGTTTTGGAGTCTTGTCTCCATTTTTCAGCGCTTCACCACGGTGCGGTTGTGGAGGCTTCGCCCCCCCATCAAACACACACACAGAGAGTGCCTTGCACGGCCCTATCGGCTCTCAACTTTATTCAAGTGGCGAATCGCCTGATGAGTTAAAAAACATTTACAGATGGCAGGTAGGCTGTCTTTCCGTCCTGCAGAGGCCCTACCTGCTGGCCACCCTGAAATGTCTTTTAGCTGTCAGGCCCACAGTTTAGCGACCAGGAAGAAAAATAAGGGAAGGGCTATTGGGCCCCTCCATGGGGCAGATTCACAGATGGGCTACCATCCAGCCTAAAAGCACACCACATAGCAGTCAAACTAATTTCAGGAGGGCTGGTAGGCCCTCTGCACGGGAAACCCACAGGAGTGCAGGGAAGCCCTCCCCCCCCAAAAAGTTGACTCCCTCTAAACCTGCGAAAATAATCTGGGGAGGGCACACCACAAATTTCAACTCCTGAAACAACGGGAGCGCATATGGACTCACCAGTCCAAAACACCCCGTTAAACCACGAGTCCTTTTGAGTCGACTCGATTTCTGCTGTGTGCTGAGTTTTGGCAAAGCAGCGTGGAACAACTAATTATGGCTACGTTTTTGCAACAAGCTGCGAAAAGTTATTGGAATTCAATCTCCATGTTTTGATGGGGGGTTATCCTCAATTGACAGCTCCTAAAGGTGATGAACTCACGATCCCATCCATCGACCAGGTCTATGCAGACTGCTGTGGTGTTTCCCTGTTGATCACACTCCCACAGAGAAAGATTTCAAATTGATAACACGTGCTGGTGTTAGGACTTCTTTATTATTGCACTGCTCTAGCGATCCGGCCCGCTCCCAAGCTCACACCCAAGCCAGCAGCCTAGCTCCGGCCCTATCCTTCCAGCCCCCCTGCTAAGGCTCACTCCCATGCTCATACCGAAGCTTGTACCCAAGCCCCCACCCACAGTCCCAGATTTGCGTACACTAGCTCGTCTAGCCCTTTAAACCCAACCAGAGGCCCCTGCCGCAGTCCGCTCTGACACTGATCCTCACCCCTCACATAGCCCGGCAATCTACACTGCTCTAGCTTATATCGCCCTCAAGCCCACCAATCCACTCTAACACAAATTGCTCCCAAGCTTGCACCCAACCTCGCATGCAAGCCCACACTCATGGCCAATAGCATATAGCCCATCTAGCTGAACAGCCCACCAACCTACCAATTAGGTACCACCCTGATCCTGCCCCCTTGCCACCTCGCAGAAACACCTATCTTTTCCCATCACTCCATTCATTCCGCGGATCAATTTTATACCCACATGATGGGGCCACATCTACTATATTATGCAACCACGCTTCAGCTCAGCTGTTGAGCTTCTGTCTCCCACAGCAATGTACTCCCTAACCAGTCCCTCCCAGGGTACAGTCAGTTGAAAATAGGGTTTTCCTTCTCCTCCAATGCTTCCGCCAAGCTCCCAACAGGACTACTACCGTCTTCCCCCGAACACAACGCACCCTCATTTTGGCTGTATCTGCCCGGAAGTATAACTCGTATACATTCGTTTTTAGGGTGCGTTATGTTCGGGGGACTACGGTAGTCTGGCACTCTTAGCAACAGGATCAAATCCTAAACCCATACAGCTTTCACACTTTTTGTTTGTAACGTCTTCACCAACATTTGCAACCAAACATATCCCAATCCAACTGACGCTGAAGATTCCTTGCAAGTTCAAAAATACCCAAAATAGTGGCCATATACAAGAACTCGAGTGCTGAATAAATGGAAAGAGAAGACTGAGGAACAAGGACCCACATACAAATTTCAGTACATCAGCCACCACACCTTACATACAAGGTTGTCGGGGAAAAGGTAGAATGCCGACAGCAAGTGATGTCGCATTGGAAAGTGGCAAACCTGCGAAGCTTTTCCTCAAATCCTTTGACAAGGTAAAGAGGAGCATCCATCTCCTTCACCCATGATCCACTGCCCTCATGAAGCATAGCCACTGCCCCGTTATCCTTCAGCGCCTCTTCCTTATGATGATGCGCTTTCTGGATGCTCTTGTCTGCTGGTTTCTGTGTCTCTGCACCGGCCACTCCACTACAGATGAGGTATTGCACCTCCCCCCCAGGTAGAGTCCTCTTCGCCTTGATAATAATTGTCCCACCTGCTGCATTTCCCTGAGATGACCCTGGAGTGCCTGCCACATTGGCCGCAGCCACACCTCCTGCATTGGATACCTTGCCACTGATCTTGGCTGTCAAAGAGGCCTGAGAATTTCCAAGCAATAGCATAGAGGCAAGTTCTCCACTTATCGCTGTTGCTGCAGACGATGGGCCAACGGGATCAAGTGGCTTCAGTGACTCCCAACGAATATGCGCATCTATCTCACGAACCTGAAACAGGATGGAGCAGATGAAAACATATTTCTCAGGTGCAGAATATGCAGTTGCACAAGCTCCTACTTTGCGAACCCAGTCACGACTCGTACCCTTGGGCAATGGCCGATCTGGAGCAAGGGGTGTGGAGAACAGGTCTAAGAATTGTACAAGCGTGCAAAAAGTGCAAAAGCGAAGAGCACCACTCATATTACGATTTTTAAGATTGCAAGCACACGTCCAGATGACATAGCACGATCAACATCATGATGACATCTGGACTGACCCATGCGCGACAGCAATACAGAGCGCAACATAAAAAG